AAAAAAAAAAAAAAAACAAGAAGGGAAAAAAATGCTTCTTCGAATTTCTTTCCGGAAATTTTCTTTTAAAATTTCACATTTCCAATGTTGCTTAATCTCATGTCATCAGCTACTTGAGATAATGGGGGAATTCACCCCAGATCAGCAACGGGCTTTCTGCCAGTTTGTTACCGGTGCTCCCCGACTTCCACCAGGTGGTCTGGCTGTACTGAATCCCAAGTTGACAATTGTTAGAAAGGTAAAATGCATTAAGCCAAATATCAAATGAATCTCATAGTGGGTTTATGCTATCAATGGTATAATAACATGCATACCTTTGGAACAGCATTCAAGCACGGGCAACAGCACAACCAATGGTTCTGGTCAATCTGAATCTGCTGATGATGACTTGCCAAGTGTCATGACATGTGCGAATTACTTAAAGCTTCCTCCCTACTCCTCCAAGGTAAGAGTGAGGTTAATGAAATTATCAATTTTTTCTTGGTACTTGTTACATTTTATATGTGATATGAAGCATTTCTAAACAGCGTGCCAATAATGAGGTTTAGACTAATAAAGTGTGCATGCACTATATTTAATAAGGGAAATTGCAGCGTTGGTCTTTAACTTAATGTAGTTGCTCAATCAGTCCCTCCACAATAGAAGATAAATTTCTATAAAATAGTATCTTGCATGGAAACATTCCCCATTTCTAATTTCTGGGCACCGGTTCTAATCTGTGAAGCAAAATCTAGCTTTAGAAATTTGGATACTCGAGGGTTACTTGAAAACGTGACAGAAATTTTGTATAGATTCTCTTTCAAGATAAAAAAGGTTGAGAATACCAACTGCTACTTGGGCAATGGTGTGGGGACTGATTGTGCAATTTTCCCTATTTAACATAAAGAGTGCGTTTGATTTCCAATATTTTTCATGAAAAATGTCGGTTTTTACCAAAATTCCTACTTTTGTGTTGTTTGATTGATATATTTTTGCGTGGATAATATTTTCCTTCTTTTGGTCACATGACCATATTTTCCTTGAAAATAAGGAAAATATTTTCTTTAGGAAGAGTATATTTTTATTTTTCAAGTAATTCTCTCTTATTTATCTACTAATAAAAAAATGGACAAGTATAACATTTTTTAAATGAAAATTAAATCAATCACATATAATTGACAATTCCCATGCAAATAAGTTCTAGGCAATTTAATTGTCTGGAATTTATTATTATTATTTTTTTATGTAAATTCCATGCCTGCAATCGAACACACTCAATATCTTTTCTAAGCAGTCTGCTAAGTGATAAACAACCAATATCTGGTGATATTGCCCTTCTTTTCTGAGGACAATAACTATAAATTACCATTTATGTTTCTTTGATCAGGAAATCATGCACAAGAAACTTCTCTATGCAATAAGCGAAGGGCAAGGATCTTTTGATTTGTCTTGAGTCTCCGAACTAACTGGCTGGATTTTCGTTTTAGCATATCAGAAGCCTTACCTTCCAGGTTAACTGACAAAATGGCTAGTTAAGGTCAGTCCTCGCTTTAAGATAGAAGTTAGATTCTAGTCTCAAAGCATTTTCCACAATTTGCGAACATTGATAGACAAACAAATTTCTAATATCATTTTATCTGGTTTTTTGGCTTTTGAATTTGATGATGGGAGTTTTCCTTCAGATTGATGGGTTGTCTTCTATTCCTGAAAGAGCTTATGAGGTATTTTTTGGTGGAGCTCTGGTGCCTGTCCTTGTAAATGAGGGTGATAATTTTTTCATTTCCTGTCTTCTTTCCCTATCGTATGAACATTTGTTAGTAGATATGTATATCTATAAGGGCGTGTTGCCTATTTCCTTTGATGGCCGTACGTTTGGATGTTAGTCGTTTCATTTTACAATTTTGTCATTAATGAATCAGCCATTGAGAGACTTACTTCTCGAATTCTCTTTTACTCGAGAATTCACCTATCTATATAGGGTTGTCCATCGTGTGCAGTTTTCAATTTTCTAAAGGCAAGTAACTGAAGTAAGCCATTGCTCACCATGAATTTACTGAATTATATGGTAGGATTACAAACGGCCAACTTATATTGAAGTTTTAATTTCAGCCCCACTGAATTATATGTTGTTTATAAGCGGGTATTGGAGTTTTTCTTAAAATTTGATTACTCTGTAAGAAATGTGTTTTTTCTTTAATCGACTATTCTACGCTAACTAAAATTTTCTGTTTACATATGTTAATTGAGGGATCGACCAATTTAATCGCAATCGAACTTTATTATTTTGCAACAGACGAAGTTGAACTATTAACATGGACATTGTAATTTGAGTGTTTTATCCCCTGTTTGCGTAGTTTCATTTCGAAATTGGTATTTACTGAGAGAGTATAAAATATAATAAAATTGAGGGAAAATTACAGTAGAGGTTTCAAACCTTTAAAAAATATTAGCAGGCTTTTTCGAAACCTTTAATTTGTTGCAATTGTCGTCCCAAACTTAAAATATCAGTAGGCTTTTCTTAAACTTTTAATTTGTTGCAATTGTCCTCCCAAATCTTTTGAAACGTTGCGACAGAGGTTCTTTTTGATAGTTTTTATTCAAATATCTGTTAGTTAATTAAGAAATTTGATTTGGACCATATTTTTAATATTTTTGAAAATGTAAAATAGTAACTTTTCATTTGTTACATTAAAATAAGTTAGAAATTAAATTTTAAAAAAAAAATCATTGTCTTTTTCCTCTCACCCCACCTCAAACCAAAATTAGCACCTCCACCGCCACGGTGAACCTGCATTCATGCTTGAAGTATTGAACTTGAGCTGAGGTTAGAATTTGGGGATGATTTCAAGATTTTTGCGATCTAGCCCAGTTCATGCTCATTTATTTTGAAGTCAAACTGTATGTTTTCTTTTGGGTTTCTAAACAAAAATGGTCATATGTGGTCCTTGAAGTGAGTTTTGGTTCTACATTTTGAACTCAAACCGTATATTTTCTTTTGGGTTTCTTAACAAAAAATGGTAATATGTGGTCCTTGAAGAATCTATTCTAAATGGAAATTTGTGCTTCTCCCGTGTAATTATGAGTAAATTGAAGTGAGTTTTGGTTCTAAATTTTGAAGTCAAACAGTATGTTTTCTTTTGGGTTTCTAAACAAAAAATTGGTAATATGTGGTCCTTGAAGAATCTATTCTAAGTGGAAATTTGTGCTTCTCCTGTGTAATTATGAGTAAATTGAAGTGAGTTTTGATTCTAAATATTACATGGATTTGGGTTTAATGGAGTTCTTTTATCATGAGTGCAGGTTCACATGACTAATGGAGGTGGAGGTGGAGGTGGGGTGAGAAGAAGAAGATGATGGGTTTTTTTTAATCTTGTTTCTTATTTTTTTTAATTTAATTTCTAATTTAATTTAATGTAATAAATGGAAAGTTACTATTTTATCTTTTCAAAAATATGGTCAAAGTCAACTTCTTAGTCAACTAACAGACATTTGGATAAAAACCGTCGAAAAGAACCTCCGTCACAACGTTTTGAAAGGTTTGAAGTGACGGTTGCAACAAATTAAAAGTTTGGAGAAAGTCTGCTAATATTTTAAAGATTTGGGGCCTCTACTCCAATTTTCCCTAAAATCAAAATGAGCTTTAAGTAGAGGCTCTTTTGTTATACCTTAATTTATTCACTCTGTAATGATATTAATTTTCTTTTAGGGGTGTAATCGTTGAAAGAAAGGCTTCTTAATTCGAAATAATAAAGATATTTTGATAGAATATGATAATGAAAATCTTGAAAGGAAATAATATTAGTCATGCAATTGGTAGGCTTATGATACTTTGAGCAACTCGAATATTTTTA